GAGCGATTCTGACGCCTATTATTGGAGCACAAACTTGAAGTAGAATGTTGGGTATGGTCAGCTGATCCTACTGATCTACTCTGCTTCAAGTTTGTGCTCCAATAATAGGCGCAGGAGTTGTTTGAATCATCGCGAATATCGCCGCGCAATTTGCCGCGCGCACCCGGAATCGCACGAATCGTGCGTCCCCCCATGAATCATACAACATGAGTTCTTATGACATGAACGTAAAAACTGTACAACCAAATTATCGCTTAAAAGTATCGTGCTTATGCTGACCATCTTGGGGAAACAAACGTACAGAGAGCGTACCGGAGGAGGTGCAAAAAAGGCGCTGTGGGGCTGATGTTATACCTACTACGCTCGCATCAGAATTCCGATAGAGATCCGTTGGGCGCGACGGGCCTATCGTCGGACAGATGTTTCGAATTTACGGTGGAGTTTGGAGGGTGCACAGCGGCTCAGAAAGTGGGTTGCCAGCAGAGGAATACTACCTACTCAAGTATAGAAAACTAACTGAAACTCCAAAGCACCCCAAAAACTGGAAGAGTAGACCTTTCGTTTCTCGCCTTCTGTGAAAGAGAAATGACCTATTTATTGTTAGGCTAGGTGGAGGCTGCAGGCTGCTAATCTTCAACTTTCTGAAGCCTCAAAGGCTCCTCTGATATGAACATCGTACATATATGGTGGAGTTTCAAGCCTGGAGCGTTCCGATTTGCTGAGGAAGTCATAAAAGGGAAGTCCTGAAACGATCAAGTTAAAGCTTATATAGGGAATCCGCTGTGCTTCGGAATCTACAGATTATGCTAAGTTTCTTAACCTAAAATGCAGGTATGGCCCAGCTTGAATGCACTCTCATGTGACGGCTCAAGCAATAAAACTGCGTCGTAGCCCCGCGACTCCGAACCTCTTACGATTCTAGAGTGAGTCCGGACTCTTATCCGCTACACCGCGAGACCACATTGCTTCGGCTTGGCTCTCGCTATGTCAGGCTGCCAGTCAGTTTGATGGTGGCTGAAGTCCACTTCGGCTTAACCGAGCTGTCCGATGGACCGGCGGGCAATTCGGCTCAGCAGGACCGATCCACACTCCCTCAAATGGAGGGGTGTGGGCTCGGTCCTGCTGAGCGTATATCATCCTAGTTGAACTTGTAAAAATTCATTGATTCGGAGAGAGCAGGCCTAGGTAAATCGACCCAATTAGGGGAGTTTGGAGGTCTTTTGATACTCTCAGTCAATGATTTACTCGGAGCACACGAGCAGTACGGGGTACGGTGCTGCGGTTTGCCTGGTGGTCGGCGGGAACCGTATGAGACGCTAAAGCAACTGCTGGTCCCTTAGCCAGTCAGGTGATCTGGAGTGAGCGGAACGACTGACGTGAACTGTTTGAGAACTTATGTCACGAACGCTTGCGTGCTGTGGGGAAGCTTTTTTGACATCCTCACGACATTTGGTCGAATGCAGGTAGAAATTTTGGGCTACTAGAGTTGACCGTCTAAGTTCGTAATAGTGGATATATGTCGGACGAGCGTATCACCTGTATCACCTGTCGTCCCGTTGATCATCGAAATCCTCGAGCGGGCGCCAGTAACGTCTCCATTCGTCCCTGTCACGAGCCAAAGTGGTCCAGTGAACCGTTCTCGCTTCAGGGACACGAGGTTCAACATTCCTTTCGTTCAGAGCTTTCGTGAAGAAGTCTGACCATCTCGTCGGCGGCCTTCCTGGTGTTCGTTTGATGTCCCGAGGGATCCAGTCAGTAACCGCCCTGGTCCAACGGTCATCACTATATCGCATAACGTGTCCGGCCCACCTGATCTTCGATTTCTTGGCGTAATCAACGGCATCCCTGATCTTCGTTCGGTGACGGAGCTCGGAACTCCGGATTCCCTTCTGCACTTGCGTGTATAGGGAAATTCCGAGCAT